TGATCAAGTACATTAAGGGCAAAGAAAATGTTGTGGCAGATGCTCTTTCCCGCAAATGCATGTTAATTACTCAACTTGAATTGAATGTGTTGGATTCGAACATATCAAAGACTTTTATGAGCATGATGTGACTTTTGCTACTCCTTATGCTAAGTGTGTGACGCATACATCTTGGGAACGATATTATATCAAAAATGGTTATCTAATGAGAGCTAACAAACTATGCATCCCCGAGTCTTCTCTTCGTTTGTTACTTTTGCAAGAGGCGGATGGAGGAGGACTTATGGGACACTTCGGACGCGACAAGACTTTTGCCACGCTCTCCAAGAACTACTTTTGGCCCAAGATGTTCCACGATGTCTCACGCTTCACCAACCGATGCTCTACATGTAGCAAAGCTAAGTCCCAAGCTCAATCTCATGGGTTACATATGCCACTTCCTATTCCATATAAACCATGGGAAGATATTAGCATGGATTTTGTGCTAGGACTACCTAGGACTCAAAATGGCAAGGATTATGTATTTGTTGTTGTGGACCGATTCTCTAAAATGGCACATTTCATCCCATGCAATAAGATAGACGATGCTTCACATGTGGCAAATCTTTTTTGTAGGGAAATCTTGAGGTTACACGGAGTGCCAAAGACAATTGTGTCAGACCGAGACGTTAAGTTCCTAAGCTACTTTTGGAAGATGCTATGCACCAAGCTCGGCATCAAGCTACTATTCTCCACGGCCTATCATCCTCAAATCGATGGCCAAACGGAAGTCACCAACTGGACGCTCTCCACACTCCTACGCGTGTTGATCAAGAAGAACATCAAGGAATGGGAGGAGTGCTTACCCATCACCGAGTACGCCTACAACCGCGTAAGACACACTACTGCCGGCAAGTCCCCTTCGAGGTTGTCTATGGCTTCAACCCTTTGTCGCCCTTGGACATCCTTCCTCTATCGCTCCAAGAACGAGCAAACATGGACGCTAGTGCAGGAGCCACATACATCAAGAAGATGCAAGAAAAACAAGGTCCACGATCGAGCGTCAAGTACACTGCCTCGCCGCCAAGCTCAACATCAACAAGACACCGATGGTATTCCAACCGGGAGATCTCGTATGGCTCCATCTTCGCAAGGACTGCTTCCCTAAAGAACGCAAGTCTAAACTTCTACCACGCGCCGATGGACCCTTCAAGGTGCTTGCACGCTACAATGACAATGCCTATAAGACCGACATCCCACGCGACAAGTACAACATAAGCGACATCTTCAATGTCAAGGATTTGGCCAAATACCACGACGATAAAGATCATGATTCGTGGACGGATCTCTCCCAATAGGGGGGACATGACGCGGAGCATCCCTCAACCATCCCCATGGACGTCCCGTCACCACCGCAAGCACGAAGAGGACCAATGACGGGAGCTCACGCATGCGACATCGAAACCGAGGTTAACTCGTTCCTCTCCAAGCTCCATTCAACTTCACATGAGAGTTGGGTCCTACCTCAAACGGAAGTGATATGAACTCTTAGGTACCAAGGGAGATGATCGTGAGAAGGTGAGGACGGAGACAAGAACATTTATGGAGCAAGAGAAGGCAGAGGGGAACGAGAAGAACGAAGGAACGAAGTTCCTAGACACCTAGGTACCTGGACAGAAGGACCCCGGGTGCCCGGACACGCAGCCACGGGAAGGGGAAAAACCCCTGGACACCCCGGGTGCCCGGCCGTTTCGGCCGCAAGTGCCCGGCCGCTTCGGTCGCGGGTGCCCAGCCGCCGCCTAGGCCTCGCCCCAGCCCACCCCGGGTGCCCGGCCTCCCGCCTAGCCAATGCCTGCTGCCACCCCGGGTGCCCGGCCACCTCCAGCGCCAAGGCTAGGGCGCCCCTGACCAGTCCGGGTGCCCGGGCCTTCAGCCCTCGGGTGTCCGACCACCTCCAGCCGCATCCCCTCCGGGTGCCCGGACCCCTTTACCCGGTGCCCGGACCCCTCCGCTTTGCCTGCGTGCAATTATGGCTAAAAAGACCCTTGTACCCCCACTCTTCCTCTTATTTCGTCCCTAGCCTATATAAACTCTCCCCCTAGCTCATTCTTGAGGTTAGCAAAGTATTTGATAGACACTAGAGAGCCTTGCTCCTTGTATCCCCTCCTCTTTGAGACCAAGACCCCTCTTTGGGAAGAATCCTTGTGGATTTTCAAGGCCTCCTCTTGGAGAAGTTCAATATCAAGACCTCATCTCCTTGGAGTGGGAAGAACTTTACCCTAGTGCTATTTTCCTTGAATTGTTCTTGTATGCTTGTCGATCTCATGTATGCTACTCTAGTGGCTGCATGATTTGGGTTTGTTTAAGTGATTCTCCTCTTGTG